TTCATCGCGGACCCAAGTGTTTGACCTTCCTTTTCCTTGGAATTGCTTTCCGACAGTACTGTTGAAGGCTTGCGACCCAAATTTTCTTGGTCCTTTGCTCTCCCTAGGCTCGAACTTCTTGGTAGGGACGGTGATTGCCGGCTTTTCTTGCTTATTTCTTTTGGCAAAATTTTCTTTCTCGTCCTCTACTTCCATCCAATTGTTTGCACGGAAGAGTGCATCTTGAATTGTGTCTGGCTTATGAAGTATTAAGTCTTCTTTAAACCTTGAATCATGTCGCAATCCTTTTCGTAGGGCAGATAAAGCTGACTGCTGTGAGATTCTTGGGAGCTTTGACAGCACTCCTTTGAACTTGGTGATGAAAACTCGAAGTGACTCATTTGATCCTTGCGATAAGTTCCAAAGATCGGCATCCGAAACGCTTTTATCCATAAGGATGGAATATTGCTTTAAGAATACGGCTGATAGTTTGTCGAAATTGCTGATCGAACCCGGCTCTAATTGGGTGAACCACATTTGAGCTTGGCCACATAGATTTTCCGAAAAAAGCTTGCAGTAACCTGCGTCCTCATCAGCTTCCTCCAATTCGACTCTTCCAGCAGCGATCAGAAAAGCTGCGAGATAGCTTTTTGGATCCTCCAATCCGCTGTAAGGGTCCAACTTGAGTTTCCGGGAATCTTTGATCCTCAAACTTGCAATTCGCGAGATGAAAGGTGTTCGCCTAGCTTCTTCAATGACTCGATTGATGTCTGGCTCCGAACTTGTAGCTTGATGAAATTTTGATTTCATTTCTTTTAATTCCTGGCTAACCTTCCTCATGGTCTCGAACTGGTCGAGGTTCTCCTGCTCGTATTGAGCTGCAAGTTGTTCTTCATCTCCGAGCTGTGTCTCTTCTTCCAACGTCTGAACTACATTATTAGTAGCACCGGGAGTTGTTTGTCCGCTGGTTTCATTTCGTGCAGCGGAACTTGGCGAGTTGAATATCCCTCTTCGGATTCCCACAAGGTTTCCTGCACTTAAAGAGCGAACACGAGTTTGTATAGTACTGACGTTTTGACTAAGAGATACCTGGGATGTTTGCAACGTATCGACGGCCTTTTCCACATCCGAGAACTTTTGTGATATGTCCGACATGGTTTGCTGCATAGCTTTGAGGGTTTCGGCCAATGATGTCTCAACGGCGTCTCCTCCGGACATTGTTGCTTATCTCGGAACGTAATAAAGAAAAATCTGACCACTCAAGAATCCTATTTCCCCACAGACGGCGCCAAAGTGTGGATGTCGGATTCACACACTCAAGTATTTTTATTAAGTGGGAAAGATTACTCTTGAGGGACAAAAATGAATATGTAAAAACTTATAAATTGCTACGAAAATTGCTATATTATTTCTTTTCTTGAGAGGAAGATCCCCCCTTACATGGCCATTGGCATTTTTATTTATACCTAAGAAAACGACATTAAAATGGCTAATTAAGTATAATTATTCTCTCTTAAATGTGTCCGTTTTGATATTTGGCTTTAATGCTTCAACGTTTGAATTTGAGTTGACTCTGATCTTCATGGGCCCCGCCTTTTGGCCCAAATTTCCTTAAACCGACTCAACCGAGACTTCGATACCAGACTCATGCCGAAATGCAGTCACTTCGGATTCTACTTGTGGTGATACCCACTTCGACTGTTCCTTTGGCTCACTGATCCGACGGGCTTTATCCTTTATGGGTCTTCCTCTTGTCTACGTGGCAATCTTTGGTTGGTCCCGGACTTCTGGTGCGGGATCCGACACCAACAACATGGATCTTAACACACCTCCTCGATCCCTCACTCGGACCGATAATAAGCCCATTTCTCGGGCCCCCATTACTCGGGTTTGAGGTATGTCCGTATCCACTTTTCTAGGTCCACCAGAATTTGAATCTTGGGCTCTGATACCATGTCTAGTTTGTAGAAGTAATCAAGAACACAAAACAAAAGAATAACTCTCTTTTATTACTTAGGAAACTCCCTCAAAACCTAAGCCTTTCTCAATCACTTCTCAAACTCTCTAAAACCACACAAGTCATATCACAACTCGATATGTCCTTATATAACAAACCCTATGACCTAATCATATCTCAATTAGGAAAATACAAAGATCCTTCTAGATAACTCCTAGAGGATTTACATTTATCTTCTCATAAAACCAAAGACTTGCGGTTTAAGTAATCCTCCGGTTAAGCTTCTCTCAAGCTTAAACCAACATTAGTCATATTATTTATGTGCCTTTTTGCCAGTTATGTATTATCAATATACTGTTAACAAAATTGGGTTGAAAATCCAAACAATTAAAAAAACACCACATAACTAATATAAATGAGAAGACAACTACAATTAAGAAAGCGAAAAGTATAGACGCAAGTTTGCCCCAATTTGAGCATACTTGCGAGCGATATACAGACTCCAAAAGTACGCGGGTTGTTGGTGAGGCCGATGTTTCTAGAGATAAGGGAGAGCTCTTCAAGTTCTAGGGAGAAAAAGGCTCGAAATTCATGCAACAATTCAGTTTTAGTGCATGTACTTATATTCATATTCTCCAAACGAAAACATAGTGCACACTTCCCCTTCTCTTTGCAACAACACAAGAATTCTCCTACACATAAGCAACACGAGCAAAAGCCCAAACGAAAAGAAGGCCCAATAACTTTAATGTAAAGCCCAATAACTTTAATGTAAAGCCCAATAGGTAAGGTGATCATTCATATTCTTTTTTTTTCGCCCATCATTCATATTCTTTTTTTTTTTTCACCGAAAGATTTTCATTATATATAATACAATGGTGGAATACATTTTTGGAATGCATTTTCGAAATACAAAGCCGGCGGAAAACAAAGAAATCCCTGGAAGTTAAAGCCCGATACACGGGAAGCACAAGAAGAAATACTAAGGTCAAGAAAAGAAGCTCTCGAAATCAGCGGGAAAGTCGGAGGAGAACAATAATCGCGGAATTAAAAGCTCAAAGGTCACGAACTAGAGAACTTTCAACCGCAAACGGAGAAGACCCAAGGATAGAGGAAACCGCGAAGACAAATCCCAACTATAAACGATTATCCCGAACACAATGAGCAACGCCGCGAATCTAAATCCTAACCACCTAGTCTTCTAACAAGAGTCTAAATCTAGAACTTTGCATCCCCACTAGAGGTTAGCCTTACAAGAACAGAAAAGTAATAGACCAAGAGAGAAAACCAACTTATTAATCTAAACTAGAGGCGGTGGAAGGAGACAAACTTAAAAGATTCAACGAACAAATAGGAAATAATACGAAAGCTATCCAAAACTAGCAATCATGACCAATCCCCAGAGCTTTCAAGAGATAACAGAGAGCAACCATGACCCAACAATTTCAAAGACTATACCAACACAGCCCACCAACAACAAGTACCAAAAGCCAAAAACAAACAACAACTAAAACAACCGAGAAGAGAAAGGACTCGTAACAAAGGCAGGTCAAAAAACCAAGGAGACGCCGGAAGAGAAGAGGAGAGACGAGAGAGCAAAGACCAAAGATACCAAAGCTTCTGAACATGAGCGACGAAGGGGAGAAGTAGATCTAGGAATTGAATTGAAGATCAAGCTCTGATGCCAGCGGAAATCCCGTCGCACGTCTTCATCTTCTAGATCCGACCAAACCAACACTACCGCTCACAGATCTTGCTCTCCACGTGCCTCCAACCTCTCCCACTCCGGAAAACACCTCACACACCAAACGAGACGAATCACCATCACAGTATCAAGCAGCAAGAAGAAGTGAAGAAAGGAGAAAAAACTACACGGATCTGGGTCGACTCTGGTGCGGTGTGGCTATTGTTTCAGATATTTTTCTTCGTTCCTCTCTCCCCCAAGAGATAAAGTAAACACTGTTTCAGATCTAGATCGGTGTGGTGGTTCCGGTTGAATTCGGCGGTTGGTGTGCCTCTGATGCCACCGCCGGATTCCTCTTCGTGTCTTTAGCCTTTCTTTCCTTTGCGGCGTAGTTTGCGGCTCAACAGATGGTTCAATCGAGCTATGGAGGGCTTGTGGTTGTGGTCTCTCAGATCTGAGGTGTACGGCTGGTCATGGTCGGCTATGGAGTCGGAATTGAAGCGTTGGTGTGCTTAGGTGTTTAAGAGGAGTTTTAGGGCTTATGTCGTGGCCTGTGTTCTGATTTTCCTGTGGTGGTCAGACGCTTAGGTTGTGTTTGGTGAGCCTGCTCCTGTTTCTGCGGCTTGGTTCTCTTTGAATCGAGCGGACCTGCGACGTGGTTTCTTCGGTCTCTTTTCTCGGTTTGTTTCCACATCTGCGTTGCCTTTTTGCTCCATGGTCTTTGATTGAATTTGCTTTGTCTGTTTGAGGCCGTTAGTTGTAGGTTTTCGTTGGTGTTTGTTAGGCCTCATCGATTGCAAATGTCTTATAAAGTTTTAGCATTTGTGGTGTTGGGGTCGTCTGCTCCCCTTGTTTGGGCTATTGTCTCCCTCTTTTGGGCTTATGCTTCTCCTCCTCGACTAATTTACTCTATGTTAGTTTGGGGTTGAGCTCTTTGGTATTATTCCGTAGTATTAAGCTTTGGTTGGCTTCAATACTTGTTAGTTGGCGTTGAAAGGTCTTGCGGTTCTCGATTATCTTACGGTTCATCCGGGAGACCCGTGACAAGACATTATTTGAGAAAGATGCATCATTTTCGGAGAAGGCCAAGTTCCACTATCTTGTTATTGCCTTAAGTGTTGAAGCCCGTCTTCATAGTTTGTTGTGCGGGAAGTCCTTATGGTGAACTTCGAGAGCTTAGTTATAGTCTTGCGACGCAACAAATATACTTTTAACTAATTTTTAATAAGTTTCTCTTTTAAATATTTCTTAATTGCGCAGACAAAATACACGAAACGAAAGATTAGTTATTACTTATTAGTATATTTTAAATATGACGGATTTAAAATTCGATGCATAAATCTCTCTTTTTTTTCTTTGGCTTAATTTTGTTTTTCTTTTTCTTCTCCAGTCAAAGAAAAAGCTTTGTGCGCAGCAAAAATAACAGAAAACACACAGAGAGAGAAGAGAGAGAAACTAGAGAGAACAATGTCAAGGTTTCTTGGTTCTACGTTAATGGCGGTTTCGAGTTTCTGTTGATTTCTCTTCTACCTCAAGAAACTTCAAATCTCCCGCCTCTATCTACTCCGTTTCGTTCTCTATCTCTTCTTCTTCTTCCTCCAAGAACCCTAAATTTCGCTCCCTCCGACCACCGTACTGACTTTACCGGATCGATTTGGGTATCTACGGTGGTGATAGTTAGCTATGGCCACTCCGAGAAACACCAATTCAATGCAGGTGTGTCTCTTAGCTCTTATCTTTGCTTAGTTGCTTATCTTCTCGTTCGTTAGTCTGCGCGAGGATGTAACTGAGAATTTCAGTGCTCGCGAATCGTCACTAGTAATGTATTGGTCTTTCTTGGTTCAATTGCGAATTTGATTGCTCGCGAATCGTGACTAGGTTTTTAGAGGATCTCAAAGATTGGATTCACTGGATTTGCGTTTTGTTGGTAGTGTAGGAGAGGATATAACTGATACTATGTGCTTAAGAATCCTTCATTGAGAAGATCTTTGAGTTTCATGAGTTCATTTCCAATTGGATTTTGTGGTCATTTACATGGATTCAGAAACCATTATATTCTCCTTACACTGTTGTATCTCATGCTTGTCACTATTGTTGTTCAGAGAGTGAAGGTTTATCGTTTGAATGAAGATGGTCAATGGGATGATCAAGGAACTGGACACGTTACTATGGATTATATGGAGGTTTGTTCTAGTTCTTGGATCCCTCCTGCGGCCAAAAATTCTCCAGTGCGCATTCTGGAAATAACTAAATGGAAACGCTAAAACATGCAGCGATCGGGAGATTTCGGTCTTTATGTAATTGATGAAGATGATAATTCGACATTGCTTGTACACAACATCAGCTCTGAGAATATCTACAAGCAGCAAGAAGGTAACCTTTGTGTGTTGTGGTTTTATTAACTATTGTATCTTCAGTTTACATAAGTGGTATCTGTATCAATGTACAGACTCAATTATCTCATGGAGTGAACCAAAACACTCAGCACAATTGGCTTTGAGCTTTCAAGAGACTGCGGGATGCACGTTCGTATGGTGAGTGACAAAAAAATATCTATTGTCTTCTTTTAGAGCAGCTTCCATTTTACTGACTACAAAAATGGTGCTTCATCCTATGCAGGAATCAAATATCCAGTATGCAACGAATCCTACATTTCGATTCTCTGCACAGTAAGAGATTTTTCCTGACCAAATAAATTTTAAAAGTTTTGAGTATTTGTCAAACTTTCATATCAGTCTGCTTGTATTTGATACATGCTTTTTCATTTTTCTTATTATTATATGTATATATGGTCTGTTCAATGTGTCATTGGACTGACCGACTGAGTTTGAGTTTACCTAGGTTGGTTCAGATTTCTGTGGCCAATTGCTCAATTCCCACCTGTGAACAGTTAGACTTTAGAATATCTGAAAGGAAATAATTTGTTTCAGAACTTTTATGAAGATGAAACTTTTGATCAATTACTAGCATTAATTTTTTTTTATAGTAGTTATGAATGTTGTATTTGAATACCTTTTTGTTTTAGGACGTCCATGATGATTGGAACTTTTGATCGCTTTCCAAGCATTTTTTTCTATGTAATGGTCACAAATTTTGTATTTGACAACATAATCATCTTTGTTTGAGCAGGCGAAGCGTTTCACAATGTGATTAGTGAGTTGAAGGAGCTTCCTGATGTCAACCGTTCTAATCTTCCCCTACTACTCAAGGTTCAAAGATAATAATGATCTTGTACTTTCTTTGCTTGTGATTAGCTTGGAGCTCTACCCTTATTTACATGTCTCCTTTGTGTTGATAATTGCAACTTTTGGATGCCTCCTTTTTTATTACTCTCATTGTCTTTTCATCGTCTGGAGTACTATCGATTTTTCAAAGTTTCTTTTGATAATTTGTATCTCCCAGAAATGCTGTTGTTTGTTCTCATCTTTATTTACGCTCTCAATGCATTAATATGTTGAAAATTTCTTGTGTTAAGCGTTGTCCTGATTTTGCATTCTAGGTCTCTATTTTGTCGAGGACTTAATGTCTTTGTTTCATTATTCCCTGCAGGTTGTTACTGAAAATTGCATCACAGATCAGATGCGACTAACCGAACTTATTCTGAAGGATGTAAGTATTAAGTGCATTCCAAAGTTCTACTGTTTCTTTTTGTATGAAAGAAATGAGTATTCATTCTTTTAATGTAATACCTTAATTTCTTTCTCCCTGGGCATACTTTTACCAAGCACAGGTTTTGTTAACTGAGCTTTTTTGGTACTGCTGTAATTATTCTTGTTAATGCTTTCAAAACATTTTTTTTTTTTATACTGCTGTAATTACTCTTGTTAATTTTTTCAAGGAACTGACACTGAAGCCTACTTTTTTTCCTGATACCTGATGCAGGCTACTTTCTTTCAGAAATTGATGGATGTATTTGATTCATGTGATAACGTGAAAGATGTTGCTGACCTTCACATGATATTCAAAATTGTCAAAGGAATCAGTTAGTAATCGCATACATCTAAACATCATTTTTCCTTACTCAAGCTTCTAAATTTGATGTAATAAGTAGCATTTCCCGTTTCTATTCTTCTGCAGTTTCGCTCAACAGTTCTCAGATCCTGGAGATTATTGTAGGGGATCAACTGTTCATGAAAATTATCGGGTGCCTTGAGTGTAAGCTTCAAGACTTTGGTCGAATGTTGATCATTATAACTTTCAGTGACGACGAAGGGCATGACCAGTAGGATGTAGCTGTGTTGTATCTATGGGATAGATGTGAGCGTTTAATTATGTCATGTGGACTTGTACTGAGAACTTCTCACCGTGAAGAGTGAAGAGTTTACGTGCTCTTTGGTGGACTGTTCTTTGCTATCTTCTCTAATTAACATGTTATTAGGGTGTGCACTTGGAACCGCAAATGTTATAGGCCAATGTATGCATTTTTTTTCATGCCTTCTTCATAGAGAATGCTGCGTCTTTTGTTTCTCCTCACAGATGATCCCGATGTTCCCCAGTCTCAACATCAACAGACTATGCTGAGGGAGCATGCTGTTTTTAAGGAGGTAATATAATATTCTCGAGTGTTCATGATTCCATGTAATTCTGGTCCAGTTAGCACAAACTGAGCTTAGGGAACACATTATTTCAATAAGAAATACTGGTGACACATTCTGTAGCATTTTTGTGGAAATAGTTCTAACTTGAAAACATGGTTATTAAACCCCACTATTGTTTGCAGGCTATACCAATTAAGAATGCCCTGGTTCTGTCGAAGATACACCAAACATACAGACTTGGTTTTCTGAAGGTTCAATCTTTTTATTCTCTATTAGTGAACTCTCCTGAAAACATTTTACTGATTTATTTTTCTGTGGTTTTTGGTCTCACCTTTTTCTCAATTTTTTGCAGGATGTTTTGACGAATGTAGTAGATGCTGCTACAACCACAAACCTAGATTCAGTAATCGATGCAAACAATGCTACTGTAAGTCATCCAAATAAACAATCTCAAACTTAACGCATTGAATGCATGCCATACGTTGCTTTATTAATGACTGTTCTGCAGATTGTTACACTGCTGAAGGATGACATCCAAGAGTTATTTGCACGGTTACGGTCACCTTCTACATCTGACGAATCAAGGAATAATTTGGTATCTCCTCTTCATGATGCATCCATCATTTTCTTTAGAATATGGTCTTTTTGTTATTCATCGAGTAATGTATGAAAATAGTTATTTTAGTTGAAATCCATGTATAGGTTCTGTCGGTAAGATTCTCTGATTTTGGGCAGGGTCCTGTCATTAAGGTTCTTAGATGAAAGAGTTCCAATCATTTGTGTCTGTACGCCTATTCAGATATTGAGGCATTGGCCGTAGTCAAACTTCAATGAAGGGAATTCAGCTTAATTTAGAGATTTTTGGGGACAGTAGTGATGTCTCTGTCAAGAAACTAGAGCTAATCTTGTGTAGATGCATACAATATATCTTCGCCAAAACCATATTGTTTCTTGGGTGAGTTAGACTGATGTGTTTTTATTCTCCAAAAAATAGGTGCACTTCTTGCACGAATTTTGTAGTTTATGCAAGAGCACGAAGAAGGTATCGGTCTTGAGGTATGTACTTTTCAGAAACTAATTCTATTGGTACTGAGAATTAGTCTTCTGAAATGGATCATGATTCATTTGTGATTTTTGGGGACAGCAGTGATGGTTTTGTAGCATTATCATTTGTGGATTATCAATTCAGTGCAGTTGAGAGTGTTGTCAATTTCTGTATCTTACGTGATGGTGCTTGTCTATTTATTTGTCTTGTAGGGAACTTATCAGTGACGGTCTTTTTGACATCATTGCAGTAATCTTGAAGAGTCCAGATAAGAAACTCATATTAATGGGGTATATGATAGATTGGTCGTGAATTTTTAGTTATTATTGTCTTATGCTCTCAGTCTCATCTGATGGGTTCTTGAGAAAATAAAAAAATACATAATTTTCTAGTTATATACTCAAGATAATTATTGTCTGATGGGTGCAGGGCCGAAATTCTTAGTATTGTGTTGGCTCAAGATTCTCTTATGCTCTTATGCTCTTATGTTGTTCGACCGGAAACTCCCCTCCTTGGTCTCTTGGTATAATTTCCTTAACTCTTGTTCTCTTTTGGATTGTTTTTCTTTTTAGCTACGAGGCTGTTCCTGTATCTTTCTATATTAGAATGGAGTGATTATTGGTTTTCGTGATGTGCAATAGGTTAAGAGAATGATGGAAGATTTTGGTGATAAGATGGAATCGCTGTTTGTGGACATTATTCAAAATGTATTGGAATTTCGTGGAGCTCAAAATGTACAATTCTCTGATAAGCAGAAGAAGATGGTATTCTCCTCTTTTTATATGTAGCATTGTATGAAAAAGTCATAGTCAAACAAGCTCATCAAGAACACGCTGCTATTTTTCTCCTGACTTCGCATTTCTGTTCTGATTGGTTATAGTTGCACGCATCAATTAGCAGAAGAAATTTTTAAAAATTGTTTTTCTGAAGTCCACACAGAGTTAGTTTTTGTTTGTCTTGTAATGATAGTTCTTCGATACATATCTAATAGAATGTTGGGTATAAGACCCATAATTCTCCTTCTTTTTTTTTTTCTACAATACAGCATGATTTCTATTCAAAATTCTTTGATAATTTTTTCAATTTTGCAGCAAGGGATGATTTTGGATACTTTCTGTGAGAAGCATCTACCTGAATTAGTTGATTTAATAATGGCCTCATGTCCTGAAAGACCTGGCGATACATCTGAAGGTGCATTCGTAAGAGTTGGCAGCAATCGTGGGGCAAAGCCGGAAGTCCTATTGCACATTTGTCAATTGCTGTGCTCTTGCGTTCAACTGGATCCATTCAGGACAAAGTAACCTATATGATGATTATCACATTATTTCTGTTTTAGTATCACTACAGTAGCCGTCTAATATTCTTGTGCATTTTCTTCTCTTGTCTGCTACATGCAGTTTTCTCCATAACAATTTGACAGAAAAGGTTTTGCTTCTTACACGAAGAAAGGAAAAACCCCTAGTGGCTGCGGCTGTTCGATTTGTCCGCACTCTCCTCTCTGTTCATGTAAGTAGTCTTCGATCAGCTTTTTTTCTTATAGACTCATCTGTGCATTCTCTCTTGAGAATGAAATTGATAAGACAACTATTGGTTATCTGAATTAGTTGAAAATTTAGGCTCAGAGGTCTTTTGTATTTAAAAATTAATAATTTTGATGGTAGTTCAAGATTCTTGTGAACATGTGTACTCAAAGTCATCACATAAAATTACTCTGGTAAGGTTGCAGTTCAGTGTCGCATGTCATATTATAGAAAACTGATATTTTTTCTCTTGCATTAACATGAATATTGATTCTATTATTGGCTAGAAAAGGTTCTCGGATGACAATAAGTCATTAGGTATGTTATGCAATTTCTAAAATAGTCTTCTATTTCAGGATGATAATGTCCAGAGTTACATTGTTGAGAGCAACACGCTGAAACCGATTATAGATGTTTTTGTTGCTGATGGTCACCAGGACAACCTCCTGACTTCTGCTGTCTTGGAGCTTCTTGAGCACATACGCAAGGTTCCTATTTTTCATCCTTTTCTTCATCTGTTTCTTAGGGGTGTTCCTATGTACATATTACTGTTCTGTGTGCAGAAAAATGCAGTGTTGGTCAAATACGTAGTTGATACATTTTGGGACCAGTTAGCTCCATTTGAGCACCTGCCTTCCCTCCAGGATTTCAAAACAAAATATGAGAAGGTATCATTCTTCGATCTAACTTCTACTTTGAAAAGTTTTCCTACACATTATTTGTTTAACAATGTGTGTCAATGTTGTCTTCAGTGCTTAGAAAGGAAGGGACCAAAGAGCACCACTGATGATCAATCTGATATGAGACAAGATGGGCGTGCTCTGGATGAAGAAAAGTCACCTTCTGCTTCCTGTCAACAGATGGAAGAAGCTGAGCCCCATAATTCCGATGTCGCAGCTGCAAGTTCTACTCCTAGTACACAGATGGAAGAAGATGAGCCCTATAATCCCGATGTCCCAGCTGCAAGTTCTGCTTCTCCGAGGTATTTCTTTCGGGTCTCTCTCGATAGAAATTCATCATAAGCAACAACTATAGTTAATGCATTTGCTTTCTGCTTTCTATTAATCGTATAGCAAGAGGTCTGGAGGTTTGGTTGATTATGAGGATGACGAAGATGAGCAAGAGAAGCGTAAAAGACAGAAGCTCAGTTCAACAAGTGAAGGAAACAAGAACTCCCCAGAACAAGGTGGCGAAGCTAAGGAACCTGGAGAACTCTAAGGAACTAATGACCATATATAGCAGTAGTTTTAGATGGAAAAAATACAGCAAGCAGATGTAAAGAGATGTCGAGATAAACATTCTCGACCAATTGATAGGATTTTTGAGGAAATATGAAAACCACAAAAGGAAGAAACTGTGTATAGTCACAATAGAGGTATAAATGAGTATGCAATTGCATTTTGTAAGGGAAACTCTTTGTGAAAATGAAATTACTATTTCTTAATAGAGACTTGGATGATTTCATCATACATAGGAGGTCAGAAACTCTTTCTGATTGTGATAGGAATTTTGAAACTACTGAGGATTTAAGATAATTATGAAACTACTGTGTATAGATTTCAGATTTTATTATAGGTAATGGGTTTTTGTTTGGAGTATCTTTGATAATTCCTTTTTTTTTTAATGTCGAAATTTACCATTTACCTCTCCAATAGATTATCAACTCAAGCTTTTACAAAAATTAGGTCGACACCCGCGCTATGCTGCGGGGTATTTTTTAAAAAAGTTTTTTTATTTGAACAATCAAAACCAAAGCAATATAATTACAACAAAAATAAAAGAAAAAGGATTTGAAAAAAAAAACACACCCTTCATCTAAAGAATGTATGTTTACTGTAAACAATATAATTACAATTCTGTATACTTGTCTAAGAACTTGACGACATATCCTTCATCTTTGTTTTGCCATAAGAAATACAAACAAGGTTATCTACATAAATTAAGGATATAAGATAACATAAAAAACATGAAAGAATAAGAAAGTTTATTACTTTGACTTTACTGTTGAAATCAATCAGCCTGTCGACCACAAGAGACATTAATCTCTCTTGAAAAACTTATTAGATAAAGTTAACTAAACACAAGTTACGAAAATCTATGAAAATATAGAAATAAAAAAGATGCACCATGCTTTGTTACGTTATGGGTTTTAAAATGAATAGGCTAAATAATTCATAAACATTGGTTAATATAACTTGGTTCATGACTTAAAATTAGAATGTTTAATGATAAACAGTTACAACATGACGATCATACGGTTCTTAACATTTTAGAGGAATCTTGGAATCCCATCTTTCTCCTTTTCTTTCTCTAAACTTATATTTACCATTAATGTTCTTGCAATAGAGTAGATCAAGTGTTTGAGCCGGCGTGAGATCACCTTCATTCAAAACATAAATCACAAATGCAGAGTTTATTCTCAACTTTTTGTTATGCTAAATTATATACTCTTATAAAATAGATCACTAATAATAACCAATTAATGAATAACATTTGTGACGTTTTCGCCAAATTTACAAACAACAAAAAGAGCATAAATCCAAGATAAGTCAAAATGCAATTGCAAACTTCACTAGGCTAATGGTAACAAAATTATTAAAAAAAAAACAAAAGGCATATTAAATATTTTTACTATGATTTCAAATCATGCTCGTGTAGCAAAAATAATTTTAACATAAATAATCTAAGATTTTTGAAGTATAATAATTGCTGAAAAATATTTACATATATCACAATATAAAAAAATAACTGTTACTATTTCAACGAAAAGATGCGATTTTAAAAAATACAACTTAGAAAAAATAACCGTCAATATTTTAGCGGAAAGTACAGATAAAAAAACACAAACGAAAAAAATTTACAGTCAATATTTTAACGGAAAGTTGCGATAAAAAGACACAACCGAAAAAATAACCATCACTGAAAAAAAATAACGGTCAATATTTTAACGAAGAGTTGCGATAAAAAGATATAACCGAAAAAAATAACCTTCAATATTTTAACGGAAAGTTTCGATAAAAAAAATACAACCGAGAAAAAATAACCGTCAATATTTTAACGGAAAGTTACGATAGAAAGACATAACCGAAAAAAGTAATCGTCAATATTTTTAACGGGAAGTTACGATAAAAAGACACAACCGAAAAAAGAACTATCAACGAAAAAATATAACCGTAATTATTTTAACGAAGAGTTGCGATCAAAAAGACACAACCAAAAAAAATAACCGTCAATATTTTAACGAAAAGTTGCGATAGAAAGACACAAACAAAAAAAAATAACCGTCAATATTTTAGCGGAAAGTTACGATAAAAAGACACAACAACAAAAAATAACCGTCAACGAAAAAAGTAACCGTAGTTATTTTAACGACGAGTTGCGATCAAAAAGACACAACCAAGAAAAAATAACCGTCAATATTTTAACGGAAAGTTACGATAAAAAGACGCAAACGTATAAAGTAACCGTCAATATTTTAACGAAAATTTGCGATAAAAAATATACAACCGAAAAAATAACCGTCAACGAAAAAAGTAGCCGTCAATGTTTTAATGAAGAGTTGCGATAAAATTGTGTTTTTTAAATGATGTGTTATTAATAATAATAATAATAAAAGCTGATGTGGCAAGCTGGTAAGCTGATGTGGCAAGCTGGAGAGCTGATGTGTATTAATCGAAATGTTTTAATTGGATGATGATTTTAATGAGGTGTCAAGCTGAGAATAGCCCAAAATGTTGAGGTGTCAGGCCTCGAGAGATTCTTAGTGTTATTATTGTATTGATAAAGCGCTTATTTGCATCTTATAGTAAAAACAAGTAAACTACAAACCAAATAAATCCAAACTATGAAATTTCATACATACAGTATTATTCAATTCAATTTTATAGTTTTATATATCTTCATCTATATAAAACAATTTAGGTATTTTTTTGTAAAATATATATTTTTGTATCAAAATAGATTAGTGTTTCTGTTGTATTTTCTTTTTATAATTAGAATTATATAAAAATTAAAATAAAAAGGAAATGATGGCAAAAACAAATTACTATTAGGAAAGAGTTGGGAAATTAAAAAGGAGCGGAGGGCTTGAGAGAAAATAAAAGAAAAGAGTTAAAGAATACTACTTTTGTCGTCTGTTGTTTCGTCTTCATCGCATTGCGCCGCTTTCACACACTCTCCGTCTCTCTCAAATTGGCTCATCTTCCCGTTAATTCCTCCGAATCCAAGCACGCTCCTTCGATCTTCTCGTTTCCAAACGTTTGTTTAGATCTTGTATATCGAAATTTTCCATTTTTTTCCCGATCGCTAGCTCGAGCTCGCCTATAGTAATATATTTAAAGCCCTCGTCTCTTTTGATCAATTAGACAAGACACAATGCTGAAAAGACATCGCTCCAGCTCGAGCTCGAGTTTTGTATTAAAAAGGCATCGCTCTAGTGTGCAAGTGCAATTGCTGCCATACGATGTTGTAGAGCTCATCCTCGAAAGACTTCCCGGGAAATCTTTGCTGAGATTCAAGTGTTTATCCAAGAATTGGAAACGACAGTTGATCCGACGTAAGCAATTACGAGGTCCAGATGTCCTTTTCGTCTCCCTTGAAGATGATGAAGCTCCGAGGAGCATTGTGTTTGGGTCGTCAATAGTTTCTACCGTCAAGTTCCCTACTAGTTGCTCCATTGTTTGTTATGGTAGTTGTGACGGCCTCGTATGTCTCTATTGTGTCTCCACACCGGGTTTCGTGATCAGCCCCGCCACTAGATGGCATCAAAGTTTTCCTCTTTCCAGCTTTCAACAGCTCCGCATGGACAGACTTAATAAAGGAGATTTTCGTGCCCCAAATCATAAGCTTGGATTCGGTAAAGATAAAGTCAGGGGCATATACAAGCCGGTTTGGTTATATAATTCATCTGAATATGGCCTAGACAACGTTACTACTTGTGAAGTTTTCGACTTTAGCACCAACGCTTGGAGGTACCTTGTCCCTGCTTCTCCTCTTCGGGTTCTTGTCTACCATAAACCCGTGTACTTAGATGGGTCACTTTACTGGTTCACCGCATGTGAAGAAGAAACCAAGATATTATCTCTTGATCTTCACACCGAAACTTTCCAAGTCATCTCTAAAACTCCCTTTCCCCATGTATCTAACCCACTTGATGTCAACATGTGCATCCTTGATAACCGCTTGTGCGTATCTGAGAAAAAATGGCCCATCCAAGTCATATGGTTGTTTGACTCTTCAGGCACATGGAAGCAAATGTGTTCCATAGATCTCACCAAAACTTTTTCTTGGTTCGGGGAACCCAAATGCGTACTCTTTCCGATAGCGATTCTAGACAAGAATAAGCTATTACTTCATGCTCGTGAGGACTTTCAACCAGTGGAGAAACAACCTGTGGTGATACATGATCTCCGTACCAAATCCTATGATTTTGTATTCAGACCTACCACTTTTGGGTTTTCTATTTATTATTTCCAAAGTTTATTTTCTGTACTACCAATTTGAAACTATTGTAATCCAACATTACTTCATTTTGTAATTTAAAGCTGATTTTTTTCTCCTCATGGCCTCTTGTTATATTCGGAACAAGATACATAATAATTAACTATCTGTCGTTTCGGTTTTTTGGAAGTGAGTAGCTATTATCTTGACTCTATAAACACTTCTACATCATACAAACAATTCCTTGGTTTCGTCATAATAGAACTAAGTTAAGTAAAGATCTGTATCGTATTTACTCATATTTGAAGAACTTTATATATCTAACAACTATTTCAATGAAAAAAGCAAACTAATCAATTTAGTATTATCAATTGTTCTTCCATGCAGAACTTTTCCACCACTGTCGTGGTTGGTCATTGGGTCTAATGGTGTGAATTGATACTAGGATTTTACTATCAATTACCCTAATATACTTTCATGTCATTGCAGTATAAGAGGTTATCAATCCAATCAGGTGCTCTCACTATCAATCAAGATATGCTCAGAGATAACTAAGTCAAGCCAAGCAGAATAAAGGTTTGTTATCTAGCAATCCTAAGCGAACATGCATAAAAACGATAGAACTACTGAACAGGAGTGATCATGCATAAGAGAAAGAACTATCAATACTAAGCAGCAATAAACAAGCAAGCAATAGGTACAGAGAATAGGTAAAACAATAGAGATAAAAAGGTCCTGAGGAATGGGGTAATCGATTATGGCAGTCTCCTTAATCTACCTAGGTGGTTAACAAACTCAATCAAGCTATCCCTAGACAATAGATTCAAATACAAATCAATCCACTCTCGTGACAGAGATTCTCAAGCTAAATCACTTTCATACTCAATTCTCATTGAAGAAATATAACCTAGCAGGCATTATGATTCAATCTAATAAAGTCAATAAGCATTCTAAACATCCAATCTCTTGGGCTAGAGTATGCAAATCTCTGGAAAAGTTTGTTCAGACATTTCATCAAACACCTTGTGGGTGTGGAAATGTCTGAGATCAATTTCCAATTGATCAGAGAAGAAATAGCATTAAGATCTACAAAACCAGAAGGGAAATCAAGCAATTCTACACTTAACCACCTAAATATACTAAGGATTCCACACCTAATCTAACCCATCCTCAAGAACCCTAATCCACTACTCAAGAACACTGAAGAACATCATGCATAAAAACCCAGAAAATTGCATAAACCCAGAAATCATTAAAAAGCAAGTATGTTATAGATAAGAGAGAGATCTACAACTTTGATGAAGAAAAGAAATGCAAAAACTCAAAGATTCAGCAGGAAAAACGATTACAAAAACTAGGGTTTATGAGAGAGCAGCGGAATATCTGCTGGGTAAAAGGAATATCCGCTGGGTAATAGCATGTACCCCTATTTATAGGAAATACTAGGTTGCCCTAATTAGCTACAAGACAAAATAGAGAGTCGGCGGAGACCAACTCGACGTATCGTCGAGCCTGCCACGTCGAGTCCATGTGATCTTCAAAGGTGGCGCATTGACGTCCAACTCGACGTGACGTCGAGTCCGTGTGGTCGAGTCTGCTCCCAGTCGGCTTCCTGGCGTCCTACTCGATGTGTCATCGAGCCATGACGTCGAGTCTGCTCCCGGGTGATCTTGAACGACTTCAATCCTCTCCAACTCGATCCCGAGTCTAGCTCCAAGGTCGTGTTGGTTCCTCATTGCTCCATTAAGTCCTAAATAAGCTCCAAAGTACCTGAAACTCATCCAATATGCAACATGCTATGCTATGCAATGCAAATCGTACTAAGTGATGAAAATGTTATAAAAAGGACTATTAATGCAATGAAACAGAGAGGAAACTAAGCTAAATGTATAAGAAATGTGTGCTAAAAATAGGTAAAATACAGAGATATCAACTCCCCCAAACTTAGCTCTTGCTTGCCCTCAAGCAAACAAATAGAACCAAGCTGGACAAGAGGTTTGAAGGTGGAGACTCAGAACCAAAACATGCATATAGAGTAAGTGAATTCAATGTCCAGGTTGCTAATTCTAGAGTGCAAGGTTGACTGATCTCTACTTAAAAACATTAGCCATCTCCTTCACATCTCAACCTAACCTCTGCCTTAATCAAATCAAGCATTCAAATCTGCACATTCCCTTTAACATTTATTAAGTAGGAACCGTGAATCATACTATGCAATGTATATGAACACATTTGGCTAAAGGATAAAGGTTTAGAGACAAAGATGGTCCCTTAAAGATCTGGTTTAAATCGCAACAGGGGATCTCTCAAGAATGATTGAGCTTTAGTAGAATGCTAAAGGTGAGTATCAAGTTATGCATACAAGGATAAGACCCCATCTACCCAGAATGTAATCAATATCAACTCAAATGGAGGTCCTATTTCTAATCCCAGAACATGAACTTAACTCTACCCTTTTGCACTCAAAGCATTTACAGACTTTACTCAAATCATTCCTTTCTTTTCTTTGTTTTCTATCCTAGGAGAAGCTTTCTTACTTTGCCCTGTCTAGCGGATTAGGATTCTTTAACAACTAGGGTTCCCTTTTCTTTCTTCTTATAAACACAAGGCTTTTGCCCAATCTCTTTAAGCTATTTACAGAACCCTTTTTACTTTACTTTAGCACACCCAAATCCTTTACTAGACTTCTCTTACTTTAGCTACTTCTCCTTAGGACTCTTTTCCCTTTCCTTTTCTTTCAATGATGAACACAACCTTTTCTTTCTTTTAAACACAACCCAAACCCAGAATTAAGCACCCACCTAGTCCTATCTGGTCCAGATAACGTGAACCATAACTACATGAGATACTATCCTTGTCGTTACAGACCTAAGACTTTCTACCAAGCTCAATCGGAATAAGGCCTCACATTCACACACAAATGATAAATGGCTTGAAGGAAGGTTAGGGCTAAGGGTGGGGAATAACTGCTCCAAAGATGGGAGTCAGCTACTTGGACTAGCAAGAGTGATCAAAAGGTGAAAGAAAGTCCAAGTATTTTAAGGTATCCATGAGTTCATAGCACAATGCACAGCATGATAATTATAAGTCAAAATTCAAGTTCAAATAGATAGGGAATGGCATCAGATCAAAGCGAGTTTCGACTAAAAACAAGAAAGTCAAGCGTTGAATTCAAAAGATGGTGCGGTCTTACTTCAAGTTCAGTCGATTATGCATTAGAGAACTAATAACCTGGGCACTGAGTTCTACTTAGTGAATAAGCATATTTACAAGGTTATAATCATCATAATCTCCAATGCAAATGCATGATGCAGCAGTCCTAAATGAAAGCATACTAAAACAGTCTTAAAATGGCAATGCGAACTACATGAACACTCTTCTTTTGTATTACAATTTTCGAAATTTTTCAAATTTTTTTGGTTTTTCTATGCCTTAGATGATTATGCAATAAGAAAACAGAACACAACATCAAATACTTCTTGGACTCTCCCCCAAACTTAAATTACACAGTCCCTTGTGTAATAAAAATTCAGAAGAGAGCTCAAGAGAAACAAACAGCGAAACAGAAAAGCAAACTAATGCAATGAAATAATACAATGGTTTAGGGATGAGTGATACTTTGGGTTTAGGCGAAGTAGTGGTCGAGGAACTCATCCATGCTCTCCTGCATGTAAGAAGGAGCTGTGCTTGACTCTGGAGGTTCCTGCTCGTTGTCAAAACCCGTCTGCGTGTGAGAAGGATTAGTTGGCTCTGGAGCAGGCTGCTCGACGTGCAGACTCGACGTGTCATCGAGTTCCATGGTCGAGTCTGCCTCTGGACTTGGCCGCTGAGCCTTCCGCTTATTGCGATGTTTTTGCGAACGCCTAGGGAGTTGTGCAGACTCCTCTTGGCTTTCCCTCTGGCGCGGTTCAAAGGATGAATACCTGGGAGGATCAGCCTTTACCGGGTGTCTTGGAGCCATGCTTGTGGAACCGCTTCTTCTCAAAGTACCTCTCTCTTCTGATGATGGTGGCGAATGCTTGGACTTCTTTTGCAGCTCCGTGATCTGAATCGCCATCTTCTTCACCATGGTAGTCAATGAGTCTACCTTCTTTGACAATCCTCGCATTGCCTTCCCCTGAAACTTTCCCAATCCTTGCAGGAGTCCTATGCGCTTGTGAGCTTCTCTCTCGCTTTTGGTCTGCCTAGGGGCTTTGTATTCCTTGAAGAAGAACCGCTCTGGTGCATAATCATCAGGGGCGTCTTGGGTTTGCTCCTGGTAGTCCTTGTGCATTGCTTGAGGCGGTGGAGAGGCAGGGGCGACTTGTGAATCGTAGAGAATGAAGGATGGTGGCCCGAAGTCGATGTTCTCACCAGCCTTAATCGTAGTGTGATTCGTGCATGGTAGAAGCAGCCTAAAATTCCCTTCTTCAGGGTGGTTGAACACATAGAGCAACACGCCTTCAGGAGCTGTTTTATCAAGGTAGCCCTTCTTCCTTAGGTATGCCATATCGATCCAATTTGGGGAAGCGTCTCCTGTTCCCACGTCTATACCCGCAGCTACCAGAATCGGTGTCAGAATTCCGCCAATGGTCAAGCTTCCCTTGCGCCCTGACCTATGCATTGTTGCAGCATAGTCCTTGTATCCCAATAAATGATCCAAGAACACGGCTATTAGAGGGGCGTTTCCTCTATCTCCCACCATTTCTGCTCCATCTCTAGTGTTTCTTAAGGTGAATAGGAGAGCTAAATCCAGAAGCTGCAGCTCGCCTTCGCTTATGGTACCGGTGATCTTCTTTGCAAAGAACATGCTAGCAATGGACTGGTGTAGATACCTCACCACTGGGCTTCTAATAGAGGAACTCTTGCTTTTCGAAGGTATGTAATCTCCTGGTCCAGCGATCGTCTTCCACAAGGCTTGAAGTTCGCGCTTATCAAAATCTTGCACCAATTCCTCTTTGCTCGGGAATCCATACAAGAGATTGAGCTCCCTAATCGTTAGTGAGTAGTCTCTTCCCTTGACAGAGAATGTGATGTATCCAAAACCTCTCTCATTCTCTTCTTCTTGATCATCCGCGTAGAAGTGTACATTGAGAGTAGCTAGGAACTGGCAGGTCTCCACTTGATAACCCTCAAAAC